CGGTGTGTAGATCAATGGCCAAGCACAAACCCTTATCTCAGACAGCCCCAGTCCAGATCTGATAGGTCACCCTCAATTCATCCCTTTCACACCGCTTGACCACTGCAGCGGGAGATATATGCAAATAGGTAGTTTAATTTCACGCCTCCCCCCAGCTTCTGTTTTCAGGGACCAAAACTGGCCACCCCTGACTTTGCCTGATCAATTCAATTACTAATCTGATCAAAACTCATATTGCAAGCTGTTACAAACTGAGAATTTAAGGATGACGTCCAATACCTGCAGGGCTGTGGTGCTCTGGGACCAGAGATGGTCATCCCTGGCCTACATGCTGTACATACAGTGGTGTGAAAAAAACCTTCATTTAAAAACTGCATTTTGTGTTTACTTGTGTTATCTTTGTCTAATATTTCAATTTGTTTGATGATCTGAAACATTTCAGTGTGACAAACATGCAAAAAAATAAGAAATCAGGAAGCTGATTTTTGTGTTCATTGTTTCCCTTACAAAAATATAGTATCTTATGCAGCTTCCATGCACTGTAGTTATTTCTTTGACTCTGTGTAAGATACTGTAATTTTAAACTAGAATTCAATCTTTTTAGCCTGTATCTTTTCAGCACACTGGGCTCTCCGTGCAAAGACAGTGCTCATACAGTAGCATGACGCCGCGAAGGCTGAAATTTTTTTTTTCAAATGCAGAAAGAGAGAGGGTTTTCTCTCCCGGATGAGAGAACGAGCTCGCTGGAGGTTTCAGACCCTGCGAGGGCTGGGCGTTGGGAAGCTTGAAGCAGGTGCTCCTTGAGCAGCTCTCATTTGCATGCCTCGTTTCTGTTCATTAACCCCACAACCGGCAGTTGCTTCAAGATTTATTTTTAATTAAGGCCCTTAATAAATAAAATGCCAGTCACGCAGCTGTGGTCAGTGGGAATGACTGGCAGCTCTTAATCCCTGCTGCTGACAAGAAAATGCTCAACACCTGAGTGGCCGCATTTTGAATTCTCCTCTTTAACTACTAAACAACAGTGTGCTTGTCGGAAAAACCTGGGGGGAATCCGAGCAAGAAAGAAATGTGCTCCTGGCGTTTCCTTTGTTTCACGTGAAGATTCATGTGAACTCTCAGGTTGGGTTTTTCCTGCAGGGTCAGTGTGTCTGCAGGGTGTCCAGTCCTGCTCCTGGGGGGGTCAGTGTGTCTGCAGGGTGTCCAGTCCTGCTCCTGGAGGGTCAGTGTGTCTGCAGGGTGTCCAGTCCTGGACAACTCTTTAGTTTAATAGCTCATACTGAGAGGACTTAACAGTGAATTTCATGAAGTTAAAGGAGAAAAAAGGAAAATATTCTCTGCTGGGGGGTGGAAACACTGACACAGAATTGCAGAAATTGCAGAAATTCTACAGAGCAATGGCATTGATCTGCTTGGAAGATTCTATTTGATTCTTTTGTCCTCCACAGTTTCTACAGTTTTGGTTATTGTTACACTGTATCGACATTTTAAATATGTCTGGTCCTTATTGTAATTGTATGGAGCCATAGCTCATAATATATTGATTTCTCCTTCGCCTTCTTTTATTCCAATTATCTCAGCAGACGGTCCGCATAGAGTAACCCAAGGCAGAGATTTATCAATGTAGAAATCCGATTAGGAACAATGATGCTGGAAACTCCTGCTCCTGTTCAGGAGTGAGATATGGCCTGTCACAAGTGCGTACTGTACTCTGAAGTGAAAGATGATAGATAGATGATGCTGTCAGACAGGGAAGAGACAGAGAAGGAGAATTGTGCTGTCCCTAACAGAAGTAAATTGACATTATCATAATCTTTCTAATGCATTTTTTTGTTTTGTTTTTCTCAGGCACTGTTGAATGGGGATATTTTTTCTGTTATTTCAGTTTACGACGCCTGTTCCATCTTAATTAAGGCAAGTAGCGATGGGATTAAGTGAAGAAGTGGGCTTGTGTTACAGAACAGTGATAGTCTTGTATAGCAATCTGAGTTTTCTGAGCCAGCTGCAGGTACCAGATTCCTCAAGCTTATACCTCTGCAGTCAGCGTTGCCCAGTCCTGACCCTGGAGTGCACCTGTCTCCTTCCAGCTGAGTGCTTTCTTATAAAGGGCAACTCCCAATACATATATTACTTACATAACAAGCCCATTAAGCTTGTTGGTATTCTAAGTGAACATAGAAGAACAAGATTTGATCTACTGTATGTGTTCAGATTCTGTGTTTTGGATCTTGTCTTGCTTCAGAGGTTGTTTAATGAGCAGGAGGTATATAACCAATAAGACTACACATAACTAAAAAGGCTTATTATTGAAACGACACAGTGCTATTCTTACCTGTTTCTGTTAGGATGCAATAAGAAAGCAAATATTTTAAACCATCTGAAATATGTTTTGTAGAACTACTACACATAAACAATTCTGGACATTTCCAAAACTGACAACTGCTTAAATCCAGCAGTTAATTATTAAAATTATAGGTTCGTTAATTTATCTAATTAAGTGTGGAGCTGGAAAAAAAAAAGCCAGGGTGAACAGAGGTTAGGACAGATCAAGTTTGGGAAATACTGCCTTAAACACCAGAAAAAGGTCACAATACTACACAGTGAGTCGTATTGCCCCCCTGCTACTGAATTTTCAACTTTTTTTTTCGAAAGCTGCTTTTGCTGGAGTAGTTAGCACTGGCACATAGACAACAAAAAACAAAAACCGGTTATAATTAAAAGGAAACAAAAATATGGGAAAATGCATGATGTAATTAAATCCTTTGAACACAAAAAAAAGCTAATTAAAATTTAAAGCTGAGTAGAAAATGAATATGTATTATTTGAGGTAATATATCACATCAGTAGCATAGAAGTCAACAATTATGTTTGATAGCTACTTACAGCAATTAAGCAAATTTCCTCTGGGTGGTTAAATTCTATTTGGCTTCCCCTCACTTCAGCTCTGCTAAATTACTAGTGATTTCTCAGATTGTGGATATTCAAGAGTTATGTATCTGAAATCAGACAGAGCATGGTCGTCACTTTAAACATCATGCTAGAATTCTAAAGTGAATGACACTGAAAGCATGGGGTTAACATGCTACTTTACTGGGTACATTTAACTGAGAGTTTTTAATGTTCAGTCCATTTTAATATTTAATAAGTAATTACACTTTTGACCAAGTTTGCCAAGGCATTTTCTGTGCGTCAGAAAGATTTATCTCATTTCCTCTGTCACTAAGTACCATGAAATAGCCATTCTGTGCCAGCTACTCAGCTAGGCAGGAGAGAAAGAGCTTACTTCACCAGCTAAATTGAGGTAGTCAGACAGGTTATATCATAGCAAGAACAAACAGGAAGTTATTCATGAGCTGATACATCGGGGTCAGCAGAGCTTCTCTCCCTGTCTGCGTGTCTCATGGAGAGCAAGCTGGGGTATGCGAAAAGACGAATTCCTAATGCAAGAAATTGTATAGGGCCAATAAAGTGATGTGATGTGTGTGTGTAATGTACCATGGCATCTTTAATGAATACAACTAATCAGAACTTCAGTTTAAAGGGGAACTGCAACGCTATTCTTGCATTTCGGGGTTAGAAAGAATCAGCATTGATGAGTGTACTTTTTAAACCGCAATTAAAGTAAGACGTACACAGTAACTTGTAAAACCTCCAATTTACATCACAAAATAGACAAAATGTCTAGGTACGTGCAGCACCATGTTCTGCTATCCAGAATGAGGCAACAAAACTTCTGATGACGTGTTGTGGCTGTAAATACATCTCTTTTAATCCAATAGAAATACTGCTCTTGACTTCGAGATGGTTTTGTTGACAAATAATAATTGTAAACTCTGCATGCAGATCACATTGGAAACTTTCTGCAGTGAAATGCCTGTGGCACAACCTGTACTTATTCTCTTGTACATCACATTATGTCATTATGGTGGCTAGTGAGCAGGAAGGGCAATTCAGGGGAACTTGAATGTGAGTTTGTGACATGGCAACCTACAGTACTTTCACAAAGTTCACAGTTTTGGGCTTAATTCAAAATTTGTAAAATATTTCGATACCATCAATGAATTTATTTTGTTATCGAGATTTAATAACTGGTCAGAGAAATTGGGACTGCAGACCCTAACACCTCATGTGAAGGATCACACCCTGTGACCCATAGGAATTCATATAGAATATCTCATCCAGAGCAAACATCCTGCCTGCAGCTCCACTGACAATATTTCTGCTTAAAATGAAACACAAATGGAATTTTAACAAATTGATTTATCCTCTCTGTGTGAAAATGATTTTGTTCTTTCATGAATTGACCTCAACAGTCTATGGGTTGGTAAAATCTCAAACTTGAAACTTCCATCATATGATTTTTTATGCACTGTTGCTTCCTTCCACTAATGTATCTCTGCGTTATCATCAGATGTTTTTTTTCAAGGACGTCTTCTAGTGCTCTGCTTGTGTCAGGCTGGTTTTGTTGTGCTGGACTGTCAAACCGATCAGAGCTCCAGCAAAGCTTTCAGGCCTCACTATGGATCTTGTCTTCAATAATTCATTGCTGTGAGCGTGTGATAAAGAACGGAGAAACACAAAAGCTGCTTTTAAGACACCTGTAACAAATCCACGGAATTAGAAATAAGACTCCAGACTGCAGCAATTTTCTTCTGTTTTTGAGATGTATTATTTATAGAGCAGTGGAGAATAACCTAAATCGCTGTAAATTAAGGGTCATAATTACTTTTGACAGAGAACTGTGTTTATATATTTTGGTGTGTAGTGGTTTGCAGGGATGTAGACCTCCAGAAGATGCATAAAAGACTGATAGGAGACAAAAATCTGTTTTTTTTCACTATGATAACGTGATTTAGCACTATTTGCTTTAAAATCAAGACTAAAGGCTAAGAGGGCACATTCTCAGTAACGAGTTGTGGGCTACAGTGTGTCTCACTATTAGAGAGTCTAAATCCATCCTGAAGAAACACGCTAGTACTCTTTCTTTCTCTTGTACATAGGGCTACCAAACAGGATTCCAGATGGATGCTGTCGTAAGCTGACCCGCCACACTCTTCCGCCTCCTTCTCCTCCGCGGCCCCAGTGGTGTCGGCTATGTTAGGGAGATGGGTGGCAGCTGGCACGCGCGATCGCTGTCAGAGCAGCTGCGCTGGGCGGTGCTGGTGCTCTCCCTGTGTGGGCAGGGCGCCCTCTTGTGCCCGGAGGGCTGCCAGTGCGCCTGGGACAGCGGCACTGTGCACTGCGCCAACGCCGGCCTGCGGGAGGTGCCCACGGACATACCCAGGGACACCGTCAGCCTCCACCTCGAGGGGAACCAGATCAGTACCATCCCGGACGGGGCGTTCCAGAACCTGCCCCACCTGCGGGACCTTTACCTGTCCCACAACCGCATCGAGAACCTCTCCCCGGGGGCCTTCCGCCACCTGAGCCCGGACCTCAAGCTCCTGGACTTGTCGGACAACCAGCTGCGCCAGGCCAACCGGGAGGACTTCGGCTCCACCAGGGCCAAGACCCGGCTCTACCACAACCCCTGGCACTGCACCTGCGCCCTGCAGGAGCTGATGGAGACGCTGAACCTGGAGCCCGAGACGGTGAACGGCATCGTGTGCGAGAGCTCGGCGCGGGGCGGCGAGCACGCCGGGCAGCCCCTGGTCAAGCTGCTGGACGCCGGGGTGAACTTCTGCAGCCTCCAGCGCAAGACGACCGACGTGGCCATGCTGGTCACCATGTTCGCCTGGTTCGGCATGGTGATCGCCTACGTGGTCTACTACGTGCGGCAGAACCAGGCCGAGGCCCGCCGCCACCTGGAGTACCTCAAGAGCCTGCCCAGCCCCCGCAAGACCCCCACTGAGACGGACACCCTCAGCACCGGCTTCTGAGGAGACCCCTCCCCCTCTGCCTCGATGCTCTCGGACTCCCCGGACACAGCACTGGACCGTGACTCCAGGAACCCAAGGATCCCAGCCTGGCTGGGCTCTTCCTGTGCTGCTGATGGGTGAGGGGTGAATCGGCTCTCCGCCCACACATGCTGAAATCAAAGCCCCCCCCAATCTCCTCCCTGCTGGGCACCTTGGTTGTGCTTTTCAGATTCCCATGATGAGCTCCAGAGCCGCACACATCCAAACAGCTCTCACGGCCGGGAAACTGCTCTGGACTTCACTGCAGCACGAGCTCCAAATTGCTTGTTACTTATGCAGCTGGAGCCGTCATAATATTTTGAACACCTTATGATTAAAACATGGCGTGCTGTGGAGTGCGAGAACTGGCCTTTGTGCATCTAGGCCGTATGGAAATTTCTGCTGCATGTGATCAAAACATGCCACTGTGCAGTTTAACAGATGTAAAGCAGAAAGGTTTTATTTTAGAAGGTCGGCAGAGAGGCTCTGCTTCTTTTGTCAGCAAGGCCTGTAATTATGAAGCTCACTGCTGAGGGGGGGTCGCAGAGCGAGAACGGGGGGTCCTGTTGATGGCTCTTCAAACCTGCTTCATGCATCTGCTGCAGGTTTGCAAGCTGTAACCTAACTTTCATGTGCAACTACACCAATAAGTCCCTTATCATTTCGAGGGGCTGTTATGCAGTTTCTGTGCAGTAATCCCGAGGATAAGCTGATCCCCACTGACACTGGCACTGAGGCTGAAAGCTAGTTTGCTTTTATTGTCTTGAGAAATGTCTGAAAGCGGCCAGATTAAGGATGACTGAAACTTCTTTCCATTTAATTTTCTGCATGCTGACATGCAGTCCCGTCCCCCCCATTGAGAAAGCCCCCTGCTCCAGCCAGTGGTTAATCAAGGTGTCCCCCCACCTCATGCACCCCATTCCTATTCCTATGCCCCCCCCAGTATTTTGTGCAGTTGTACAGTAAATGTCCTCAATGAATAGAATCTGGAATCCATCTGTTCACCTACGCTACTCGGGCAGAGTACAGAAGTGAAACTTGTCGTTTCTAAACAGCAGGTTACTCCTGTTGGCTTTTCAATCCCTTTAAAGAAAATAGCACGACCCTTTACTTGCTACCCTTTGTAATAAGGGCTGGTGCGAGGTGGACAGCTGTATTGTTTTTTTTGGAGCTATGAACAAGAAGCCTTAATTAGAATTTGTTTGGGTGGTATGGTTAAAATTCTACCAGTATCCTTTTTTATTTTGACAGTGTAATATTATGTCATATACTACAGCTTTAGGCCATTAGGTCATGTTTTATGCAGTTCGCAACATTTGGGAGAGCTGGTTATTTAAAAGCATTTATTTTTTCATTTTTTAAATTCTGAATGAGTTATCCTACAACATGCATGTTTTTTCAAAATTAGTGAGATTTAATCTTCTTCTAACAGCCCATTGTTAAAAAAAACTTTGGTCCTAAACGAGTGGATTGTTAAGTTACATTAAGTGGAAGCTCTTGAAAGCTGGAAGGTTATTCACTGTCCCTCCAGCAGGTGGTGCTGTTCTGACCCCATCAGTGTGGTAGCAGCCAGCATTGTCATTGATTGACATCATGCATTAATAGCTGCTGTTTAAAAATGCATTGAGTTCAAGAGCAATAGCATCAATTCAGAAGAGGCAAATCTCAACGGGGCTAACTTTGCAAAGCAATCAGCGTTGCACTGTGTGCGGTGGCGATGGAAATAGAAATGATAATTTATACAATGGGAAAATTGCAAACACAGAAAAGGTGTTCTGGGTGTAAGAAAGTGGCTTTAACCTCCACAAGAGCTGAGAGAGAGCCATTAGTGATACAAAAAAATTTGGGGAATAATTCTTTTCATGCCAGACGTGTTAATATTTTCAAGCAGAAATGTCATGGTCACTTATAACACGGGAAACACAGGATGTGAGTATATTTTCCCCTCTTGCACCTATTTATTGGGATAGTGTGGGGGGCGAATTGTCAAGTACTCAATAAAAGTGGAATGATGGTTGAACAAGAGCACCAAAGCTTAGATAATACCCTTTTTCTCTTTGGAAAGTTGAAATGGTATAAAAAATTACCATAAAGGCTTACTGGGTGTGGCATCGTGATTACATAACACAGGTCACTAACAGGAACCAGTCCTTTATGTGTGTGACAGTAATCCTGCGTGGAGTAGCAGCGGGGCTGGGCGTACAGATGGTGTTGAGAAAAGAGCTGTGTAGCCCTGCCTGTTCCTTTACGAACAGGGCAGTGGAGAGTCAGGATGAGTCCTACCAGGAAAGCCCAGCTACAGCTGCTGCAGTTCTCCCTGTGAGGGAGGTTCTGGGCCCTGACTGCTCCAACCCCCCCCACGCTGTATAAATGGCTATCGGTCAACTCCAGGTCAGCCACAGTGCGTGCGGGTCTCACAGGAGGAAGAAAAGCTCTGGCCTCCTGAGCTTCTTAGCTCTGAGTTTGGGCTTTAACACTTACTTTCCTTGCAACTCGCAAAATCCACACATGAAAAACCAAGTGAATCACGCCGCACCCTGAAAGGATCCTGTAATGGGGGGAGTGTTCCTCTCTCCTATCGAAAGATGTCCAGTTCTAGCTTATTCTACACCTCTTCCAGCCCGCAGAGGTGCTGGCCGCATGGTTCTTCCTTTTGAGCCCAGCCTGGGTGTGAAGTGGTGCTTCTCTGTCTGTCTCCCACAGTCCTCGGGGGCGGAGGACCCCCCCCACCCGTCACCAAAGCACGTCAAACAGATTGTATTCTGTGCCTTGGCTCATGGAGTCGGCCTCTCGCACCTGCCGTTTTTGTTCCAAAAAGCACAGTACCAGCTTTCTAAAAAAAATGTCTAATCTACCCTCCTCATTCTCTCAGTCTTTTCCCAGGGTATTAAGCTTCATTTAGCTTTTTTTTTAAAGACATTTAGCTTCTTTTGTCACCTTCTCACGTCCTGCTGCGAGTGCTGCTGGGGTCATGGTAAGGGGCTTCACTGAAAGCGTCACCCTTTGCTTTTTTGTTTATAACACATTAGGCTTTGCCGCCACCACTTTAATCGGTTTCCCAGTGTTATAGCAAGGAATTAAAAAGCAAAGTTTGTGTTTCGTACTTGTTCAAAGGTTCCCTGTTGATGTTTGTCACTCCAAGCTCTAGGCTTTTCAAAATTGTGGAAGTTTACAGTTCTATGTACCCTCCCCCTCACCCTCATTTACTTTTTATGTGTATGAAAATGGTTTCCAAAGACCCAATTAAAAAAAAGTATTCAATTACTAAATGCCTCCTTTCTTCCCCTGTCTGGTTTTCTCCTGTTGGAAACTTCTTGCACCGGAGTCTTCAGCAAAGACTCGGAAAGATAGTGGCGACAGTTAAAGTGAAACAAATTGGTAAGAGCTAAGAGAGGAAAGTACAACTCCAGATTTAGACTCTATTAAATAATTAAGTGGTGCATGATTAAATCTGTAGAAAGATGGCATTAGTAATGGCTTCAGATTTATGGGGAAGCTCTTTGGAGACATTAAAATTAATTTCTCTGGCACCCTCTCATGACAGATGCAGTTAGCGAGTTTCTCTTTTCCCTTGAAGATTAAAAACAGAGAATGGGAACATAAGCATTTTAGTACTTACAGACTTTAGTCTGGTACTTAATGCAAAACATCCTTTATATGCCATAGTGCTGTGTATGTTAATGAACAGCGAACACAGTGTGCTCCATGCAGTCTCTCAGGCCTTGACATTTTAATGGCATTTAGCAGATGTATTTATTTTTTTAAAAAAATAGGTCATGCTTTTGTTGTAAAAGTCCAAAAGATATTCTATTAATCCTCAATTTACTATAAACAGTAGCACTGCAGGATATTAATGAAGTGTCTACAGCCATTCATTACAAATGAGATTAGGCACACGTTGCATGTGACTACTACTGCAGATATAGTTATGCTTTATTAACACTAAGAAGAGCAGACAGGAAATACAAGTATCCTGCGCCACTATCAGAAAAGTCCATTTGAAGCCTTCAGCATTGTTCAGTTAATTTGATTAGCAGTACGTACTTCTAATGATGACCAAGATCCACATCCCAAAGTCAGTTTCTTACATGAAGAGAAGTCTGCACCCATGTTCAGACTGGGCCAGGCAGCTCTGATCCGTGGTGTGACCCATCGACAGCTGGTTCCGGTCTTCGAACGCGGGAAGGTGCTTCCAAGTGGATCAGGGGGGTGGAGGCGAGCTCCCGCCCAGAGCCATGGACTGTTCAATGCCCCGCACCCAGCTCACAGTGGAACGGCGTCACGCTGAAGTTCTCCCCCTGCCTGCTTGCCTACGAGCCCAGCTCCGTGTAGAGTGGTCTCTCCCCATTCTCCACCGCTCTGGATAAGGGCAGGGGCGGGCTCCCCCCCAGGCCCAGCAGGGGCGTCCTGGCACTCATGAAGTAGAAGGGGACATGAGATATCCTCCCGTTAGACCAGCACTGAGGGGACAGATAAAGGCTTGTCAACTGGGCCAGGCCGCCCACCATCTTCAACACTCACACATCAGAACCAAAGACCCTGTGGCCAGAACGGGCCCCAGCCCCGTACTGCAGAGGACAGCACAGCTCCAGAACCGCCTGTCCGCTCTAGAGCGCAGTGATTTTTCGACATGGCAAAGCGTTCCTGCTCATGTCTTTAACGCCCTCAAAAGAGCTTTATTCCGGTACAGCAGGGGGTGATGTGTTAATTATCAGCACCAACTCTAGACTGTTGTAGCAAAAGGCATAGGAGACACAGGAGAGCTACTCCTGAAGGCCTTATTTATAATTCATAGGCATCAGATATGCTAAACACAGATGGGGGGGGGAATGGAGGACTGTCAGCATCAAGCTCTTTCTCAACTGACAAAATGCTACTTCTAAGTCCACTGCGCTGTGCTTGCCAACCACTGTCCCCGGTGTTCGAATCAACGCCACCTCCCAAGTGGAGTGTGGCACTGGCCATCGCAGTGTCCCCCCCAGAACACTCATTTGGACAAACCCTCTCAGGGTTACTCCACACTGGTCCTGCTAAGAGAGCTCCCCCTTCCCCCTGCACCCCAGCTCTTTAAAGGCAGCCTCTTGAATAAAACAAACCTCCGTGCAGGCAGGCAGGCAGCCCTGTGGCCATCCACTGCTGTTCAGAGAAGAAAGACAAAGGTGGGAAGGAGGTTGCACAGAGGAGCTATGGGAGATGTGTTATACCCCTGGCGGAGGGGGAGGTGGTTGAGGAGGCTATCATGACTCACAAAGCCTTCTCACCTCGCCACTCAATTACTTCGAAGACTGGCGTGGGTATTAACAGCGAGACCGCCTGAGGTTCCCTGCAGCACACAGCAGCTGAGAAAACTCAGCTGGCAGCACAGGGAGAGCGCTACACCCCAGACCGACCACAGTCTTCTTCCACACAGGGGCAGAAATATCAAATACAGATTCTGCGTGGGGTTTCTGGGTAATGCACTCTATTGACCCCACCCAACAGGTCTTTTTCCTCCTCCAAAAACGTTCAGTTCACAAGGATGTGAATTAAGGCCATCAGTCAGGGATGCTGGGTATTTCCCCCCAATTATTCATGCTCTGCCTACAACCCTATTTCGGACACCCCCCAAAGGCAGGGAACTGGTGCCAAGGACAGTATAAGTTTTTGTAGGCAATGTTTCACGCTAAAGGTCAGCTGTGCTTTCCAGGTCCTGCAGGAGTTTTCCAGACGAATGTTTCTATCCACACTAGGTCTTCAACGCAAAGAGGTAATTATGTGTGGTTGATTAGTATTAAGTTATCAAGGACAGGACTCAACAGTGCTGCCTCCGGAGAACCCCAATCTAGTAGGTACACTAGATCACCATGAAACCCCCAATTACTAAAGATAATGGAATTGTTCCATGTGATTAATTAAAAAAAACACCTGTAGAGCAAATTAGTTTAGAGATCATTTAGAACTTAAATCTAAGTACCCCTCAAAGTACCAGAGTTCTCTTAATTGAAGAGATGATTTTCTTGATTATCAACAGCATACACTTATTTCCAGTGTTTAAAACGGGTGACCTACAAGAGTAACTGGACCGGGGCTCTCCAAGACCATGTCTGCAGACCCCCGACGTAGGATGATTTGAAAACCCAGGGATCCTGGTCTCTGGAGAAACGGGTTTGGTCGTCCCAAGCTCAATGCCAGTGAAAGGAGTGGGTTTCCACATGGAAACCATCAATACTTGGGCTATCCAGTTCATTCCACTGCTGGATTTGAAAACTAGCGTGTTAATTAAATCGATCAAATATTTAACCAACTCCTAAGTAATCTCCACAAAACATTTCTGGGTTTTCTAGGAATACTATTTGTCTGCTGAAATATATATTTTTTCTTCTATATATATATATCTCTCTTATGAACCTTGATGAACACATCACCTGTCTGCGTAAGAGCTGGATATTCCCAATCCTGGCAGGGATGAGAAGTGCCCATATTTGGCAGCTGTCCCCAGTTTAGTGTAAAAAACAGGGTTCTTACCACAGTGAGTAGGGCTCCCTTCTGGAAATGAGGGTGAAACTGTATCAGCCGGGGCTCTGCTCCTGCCTCTCCCTGGATAAAACCACTGAAAGAGAGAGACACAAATACTGTCAGTGTAGATGTCCGAATTACAGACTCAGTGTACCGGATTCAGGGCAGACAGTCAAAACAGAAGCAACTTGGGCTGAGGTTCTGAAGCTAATGATGCATATTGTACAAGTAGGTATACAGAGCAGTGAAAGATGTGGATGCTGTGAATAAGAGAGAGACAACATGGCACAAGAACACTTGATTACGGTTTTCTTTTGGGCTTAGGGTGATACTGATTAAGAGTGGTAGTCAAATTTCACTTGTGTGCCTTTTTGAAAGAAAAGACTGAACACCATGTCATTTATTTACACAGGGGTACAGCCACATGAATCACATCCTACTCAAAAATCATTTTTAAAATTGAAAATGTCTTTACATCACAGTACATCACAAAAATAACCAAAATCTAATATAATATTGCAGTATATAAACTTATGCAAGTATTTTATGGTAGATGCACAATTCTTCTACATGGCATTACAGAGACGTCAGCCTGGAGAGAAGATGTGGGGGAGACAGCATCAGGAACAGAAAAGAAAAAAAAATGCATCTGAACAAAAATAAGTTAAAATAAGGTGAATCATGGAGAGAGAAAAATCTCAACAATAACTGGCATTATTACCGTCATCAGAGCTTTTTAAAAATATTTTTACAATGTATTAATCTTTATTAATCTTAATCTCTATTTATCTCAACAGTAACCTTGAGAAACATGTTCAAGAAAGGTTACAATGGAGAGGAGACCACTTGGTGCAAAACATCAAGCCATTTCTTAAGACCATTATTTATCAATGCAAAAAAAAAAATGAATGTAACGTCTGGGCAAAATAGTGGAAAGATAAGAAATCGAGTAAATGTAGCAAAACGCTGAAACAAACAGGGAAAAAGATGACTGAGGCCCCAGCAGGGGAGGGTTCCCTTGACGGAGGCTGGGCGCCTGTCGATCACAGAGGCCCTTCACTCTCTATCCCAGCCTGTCCCGTTCCATTCCCCTCCTCCGCTCCGCAGCTGATGCATTCACACCAAGAGCTCATTTTACACTGTCAGCTCTCATTTCCAAACAGGCATGTGAGATCTTACAGAAAGAAACTCTCCTTCCCGCAGCCTCGTTAGAAACGCTCTCTCTTTTCCCTAGGCTCCTAAGAGATGCTATCTCCTCTGTCTCCATGAGCGCTCCCATTATCATCCGCTGCCTTTAATTAAGCACTGCAGAAAGAGGTGGCTGATCAGGGCCTTGTTTTAAATCAAGCCTGAGTCTCGGTAATTAAAGGAAAGCTTTGGCAACTGCAGCTTTTCTTTTTGGCTTAATTCTCTGGTGTGAAAAATGTCAGAATGTCAGGTGGGGTGGGGGTGTGTGTGTGTGGGAGGGGGGGGGGGGGGGGGGGTTGATTACTTGTACACATGTCTCTGTAAACAAGCCACCTCATTATCAGAACCCTTGGGGTGTCAGTGCAAGTGCGCCCTGTGAGATCAAGCTAGCAGGCACACCACAACGTGTCAGACAAGCCTGTCACATTGCCAACGACACCTGGCTCTCATTAGCTGGGCAAGACTGCTTTGCTACTGTTCCCTGCAAATGCTCACGTAAGCAAAGGTAGCTCAGTCATATACAAATAAGCAGCAAAAAAAAAAATATGTCAAGCGTGTTAAAGAGCTTGCAGTAATTAGTAGCTTGGCTTTGTGCAACATGCAGGGCCAGACTCAGACACTCAAGCACAAGGTTGATACTTAAACCCTGGTAGCACAGGCACTATAGTAGTACCAGGAAATTGAGGAGTTTTGGAGGTGACCACCTTAATATTGTAGCACACTCTAGTCTATACGAGCACATCAAAATCGCCACTTGGTTATTTTCCCACATTGCACAGTGCAGTTTCAGAATAATTGCCCAAAGCAATCCAAGACCTGCATAAGACATTTAGCCCGTGCGAGCAAATGGACGTACCAGGGAAGCAGCTCAAAGACTGGACTGGTGCGTGTTTTAAACACAGCGATGAAGGCGGGATGATCCACAGCCTCTGGGTCACCTGGAGGAGACGGGAGACGGGAGACAGGGGTTAAACTGAAAACACACACTCGGGAACACACTGCCGGGCAAATGTTTCCACTAGAAACACCTCACTCCCTTAACTAGCCCAAACGGAAGCAAGAGTGGGGAAAAATAAATTTACTCCTAGGTCGTTACATAGGCTATGCAAGACACAGCACCCAACCTTGCACAATTAAAACCTTTGTAAAACGGGCCATGAAGTTTATTGGGAAGAGTGGCTGGGCTCCGTGTTGGGGGTTCACTTCTGCAGGAAACCATGCAAAGGCAAAATCAGGAGATCAACACTTATTTCATTCTGAAGTTTTGTTTACACCTTTCAGAAGCACGGCCAACCTCTCCCCCCGGGGGTCCCATGCCACAGCCTGGACTTCTCCCCCAACCCTGGAAGGCAAACAGAGCAGGACAGCGATCACTGAGGTGTGGAGGCTCAAAACAAGGATTTACAGGCACTGTGGGTTAATAGTCTCGGCTGAAGGGATAAACAGCACTTCACTTAAATGTTGTTGTTTTTTTATTTTGATCTTTTGAGCTCCAAGAACAAAAATGGAAGCTTGCCGCCTTCTCATCCCAACGCACAGATCCTCGCCGTCGTTAGAGTAAGACAAACTTGACCCTCCAAAGCTGGCAGACCCACACTTTAAAGGAACAGTAGAAAAACGCCTGATCCTCAAACACCTGGTGCTAGCAGATAATCACCAAAGCATCACATGATAATGCAGGGAGAAGTATTACATCGCCATTTTCTCACTTGGCTGTGCTTCCTGTTAATTGATGCAGGTCCTTTCCTTGTGAGGCTAGTGGTTCAGTCCCCTAGCTAACTTCTCCAGCAGAAATGTCTTCAAGATTGACCACCTACAGCCAGTCAAAGAACAAGATGGGGGTGAAGAGCTGTCCTGGCTTTTATAACTCCTATTAAGTCAATGGATCCTAAAATGACCAAGAAGATGAGACACAGGGAAACCTATAAATCCTGCACACATACTTATGTCCTGCAGCTTTCCTTCCAATCAAGATGTCTCCTGCAGACCCGACCCGGTCTTGGGATGAACAAATACAGCGACCAAACTCCAAGTATAAAGAGATTAAAGAAACTAGCCATAAAAAAAACTTGCAAAAAAAAAAGGGTTGGTATGGATATAGTGAAAAGAGAAGGGTCAATGACACAAACAAGAATGTATCTGGAAACCAGAATTTTCTCACGAGGATGTGGGAGAAGCTATAGTGCACAAGTGCTGAGAGGTATTAGGTGGCCTAACCCTGCTATGAGGAACAACAGGAGATGGACTCATTGGGTATTAAATGCACTCAGGTAATTAAAGATGAACAACAGCAGAGAGGTCTTTTTATTTATGCGTGCTTTAACCATCTGTAATAAATCAGTGTTTCCAGGAGGTTTTACATTAACCCGCTATGAGAAAAGTTGCAATAGCATGCTTGCATGTGCTCCAACCTTAACCTTAACAAGATGTCAAGAGAGGACACATTGCCCTGCATCCTTATTTTATGCAATATGAACTCTAATAAGGGAAAAAATGAAAATTCAAATTTGGACACAAGTGTTCATTTTACCAGGCTTTGTGATGTTGTCGGTTTTGGGTTTTTTTTTTTGTAGAATTTGGAATTCACTGCAAGGGATCACGGATACTGAGAACACAAGATGCTTGTCTTTGAAAGGGACGACTCGTGTCGCACAAAAACATTTACACACGCAAGGACAGCAAAATGCGTGTCCCTCTTTCTACCAATGCATTAAATGTTCTCCTTCATGTTTAATATTAAAGAAGGAAAGAAAAAGCCCGGAGCCTCCAGACCGAAGTTTCAAGGTTATTTTTGCGAGATCTCAGCAGGAAAGCCTCTTTGTCAATAACAGAGCAGGCACTGGGAGCTACTTTCAAGGCAGAAATAAAAAAAACAAAGCCACTCGCATATAAAATGGGAAAGTATATTAAGCTGCCCCTCAGCCATCCACTTTAATTAGGGCTTTAAAGTAAAAAGCTCAGAGAGCAGCGATCACAGATATCACCTTCAGCAGGAGATATAGGAGAGTTGCCCTAGAATTCATAAACACACACCACTGGCAAGAAAAAAAAACAATCCACACCGACAGTAATGGACAGCTGCAGGAAGGGTCAAGACACTGAGCTGCCGACAAAGCACTTCGATTTCACCCTTCTGCCGTCTTTAAGGAGCAACACAAACCCTAAATGCTCCAACATCTTGTTAACCTACAAACAGAGCAAAGACAAAGCCTGTCCCCTCAGAACTTTCCTTTTAACCATCACCGCAAGCAGAAAACGTGCTACCACACGCAGAATAAAACGTTGTTCGGAAAAGGACGTACAGTATTCAGAATGGATATATTTAAACACTGGCAGAGAATGGTATTTGGAAGCAGAATGCCCAGCTGCTCAGAAATGTCACACATTCTTCAAGGCCTTCGTCAGCTAAATAAAAGACCACAAGGACTCACCAGGTGGGGCTAATCTTTAAAACATGAAAAGCACATTCACTCTAATTGAGTTCTGCACCTGAAACCATTATGTCCTGTTGACCAAGGTCCAGGAAAGCCACAATCCACAAGGGCTTATGGGTTACTCGTAAATCATCAATTCTTTTTACATATGGATCAATTTTGGTCTTGACCACTTAAGCAGGTGAGTTTTGTAGATAATTTCCCAATGAAATCCCAGCGCCCTCTGGCCTCAAGGACCACAGCTGGCCATTCTGAACTTAACGGAACCAATGAACTGACTCAATTGATGAAATTTGTGTTATACCGTGTTCCCTATACAATACAAGCGTATTGTACAAGTGTCTGACCAATTTTATAACAATAATAATAATAAAAATAATAATAGCTTACACTTATATAGCGCTTTTCTGGACACTCCACTCAAAGCGCTTTACAGGTGATGGGGACTCCCCTCCACCACCACCAGTGTGCAGCCTCACCTGGATGATGCGACGGCAGCCATAGTGCGCCAGAACGCTCACCACACACCAGCTCTCAGTGGGGAGGAGAGCAGAGTGATGTAGCCAATTCATAGATGGGGATTATTAGGAGGCCATGATTGGTAAAGGCCAATGGGAAATTTGGCCAGGACACCGGGGTTACACCCCTACTCTTTTCGAGAAATGCCCTGGGATTTTTAATGACCACTGAGAGTCAGGACCTCAGTTTTACGTCTCATCCGAAGGACGGCGCCCGTTTACAGTATAGTGTCCCCGTCACCATACTGGGGCATTAGGACCCACATGGACCACAGGGTGAGCGCCCCCTGCTGGCCCCACTAACACCTCTTCCAGCAGCAACCTTAGTTTATATTTGAACCTAGTTTATTGAAGAGCAGCCTGCTGTTTTTAAGTCAGCTTCTTCAGCCCTCATACACCACTGATCTAGGTTTAGACAAGACGGTTTAGCAGAGAAGGGAAAAAAGGAGAGGTACAAAAAAGAGCAGCTGCTAAGATACTGGGTTTCACAAACCCATGAGCTCTAGTCCTGGGCTCGTTTACCTGAAATTACATGAGGCAGTCCAGGATGGCTGATAATTGTGCATCCATGAAACTTGAATTTACACATCACACACTGATCTGAGTAGAGTTATATAACAGCTGTAGCATCTTTCAAAGCTCAACTATGCCACCTTTTGGTGAAACCTCAACTGCTGGGAAAAACATTATTTTTAAATTATTCTAGCTACATTAATAAAAGGCGGGACAACCAAAAAGGCGTGGCAAAAATAAAGCATTTCGATCCTTTGATTTGCGAGGAAAAAGGGGTTAGAGCTACAGCTAGAACAGTTCACACACCAAACAAAGTTGCTGAAAAACTCCTCCGAGCTCACAAAGTCAATTGCCAGCCAAGGCTACCGCAGGCTAGGTGACAACGCAGATCGACAGGCCTGGGGCTGCCGGTGAGACAGACACGTGAGTCAGAGATAATCCACTCTGCTGCTTTCCTAACATCTGCTGCTGGAAGCAGAGATGAAAGCCTGACCAAATCAGACGGGAGCTTAATTTTTTTTATCTCCGGCACCGGTATCAACACACAAAAAAAAAAAGCAAATGCATATCAAAAGTGCCCCCAAGCAGAGACCTGTGCGAGAAATTTGGAAGGGCAAACAAGGTAAGGACATCTCGCCGGGCCGGCTCTCGCTGTCAGGGCAGGACTGCACAGGTGGCAGCCGGCTCGATTTTTATATGAAGTGGGCGGAGATTTCTCTCACCGCCTCATCTCGATATCCCGATCTCAGTCTCCTGGCCTCCAATTGTTGTTGGGTTTTTTTTACCATCGTATCAAGTGAAGAATGGCTTCAGCTCCACCCAGCAAGCTCCCCGAGATTCCCGTGGTGAAAGATGCTACTGAAAATGTACAACTCTGATCCTGGAGGGCGAGGGGCTGTGCCGGTTTCCATGTCCACGAGCTCTCGGCAGCCCAGGAAAACCGCTGTTTTTGCCGCGTATGTGGAACATCTTACCAGGTTTCCCCAGTTCCCAGAATCCTGCTGATCTTGAGGGACCTACAAGACCTGCTAGACCGTGGCCCCCCAGGATTGGAGAAGGGCACCCGTGAACCGTCTTGGATTTTTCCCCAAGTCAAAATAACAGGCTGAGAGCGGCCATTGACCCTCACTCTGCAGACAATGAGAAATCACCCTCACTGGGGTCTCTTCACAGCACAGCAGCCGCATTTGCTAAAATACTTCCGTTAGCCTGGTTAAAAGCAACAGGATCATCAATGACTAATACCCATGTCTGCGTCAAGACAGACATAGAACTGACAGGAAATGACTCCTTCTCTTTTACACTGTAACTCCCCAGCCAGTATCTGCTGTAGTGTTCAAGAGTTACAGAAAGTGCAAAGACCAATTCATTATATACCCATCCAATTTGAAAATGACTTGATTTAAGACCGTTCTCCCTCAACCACTCAAATATCTACTGGGAGAGGACAAGACGTACAAACACCCACCTCAACACGCCCACCCCCAGAGCCCTTCCTCACCTGGCACACTGCAAAAGCCCGATGGAGGAGCTGCACGGTCACTGTAACCCCCCCAGCAGGTCCCAGGACCCCCACCGTTCGCCATAAAACCCAAGAGAGCTTGACCCCCCCTCCCCTCCCACCGAGTTCAGACAACAGGGTGCTCTCCTGGTGCGATAGGAAGAGGAAGGCACCTCGGACCGCCGGCTGTGCTCGCGCTCTCTCACCTGAGCTCCCCATCCTCGGTCCGGAACGTGGTCTCGGAGAGGTCGGCCACGACGGCAGCGGCTCTGGAGCCCCCTCCCCCTCCCAGGGGCTCCCCTGTGCACAGACGCCCCCCAGGGGAAACAAACCAGTCAGAAAAAAGAACTCAACGTGCACTAAAACGCAAAACTGAAGAGAACGTTTGAAAAGGAGCTAACCATACCACAGGGGTCCCCATAAGCATCACGGTTATGATGATAATAATAATAATAATAATAATAGCTTACACTTATATAGCGCTTTTCTGGACACTCCACTCAAAGCGCTTTACAGGTAATGGGGACTCCCCTCCACCACCACCAATGATGACACAGGACTCTGCCATGTTGCCTCAGACAGAACATGTATGTGGCACACCACCAAGCACAAAATGGAGAAGGCACAAACCACTTATTTCTGGTGATTGACACCTTGTGCACAGTGCTAGGCATAACAGACACTTGTGAAGAGTCTCAAACCCCAAGAAGGATCTACAGACGAAACTTTGTGCTTTCTTTCTTCTCTTTTCAGCATGGAATAAATACTAAATAAATCATTACAAATTGCACAAAAAGGAGAAGAGACAGCGGATTTGTCCGCACGCAGGCTTTGCAAACATCCCATCTATTAGTTTTGACCACTTCACAAGTCTTCTGATGGTCTCATTGCAGCTGCTGCAAAGCAACAGGCGAAGCTCAAAGAACTACACCCCCTCCCTCAACCCCACCACAACTTCTCCCAGCAGATCCAGCCAATTCCAGTACCTGGGGCGTCTGTGAAGGTCAGGGCATAGATCACAGCCTCTCCCTGCACACAGAACAACAGGCGGCTCCCGTCCGGACTCCAGCACCCCGTCTGCCACAAGAGACGGATGTTTACCACTGAACATCACACACCCAGAATAAGATCACCGTTTAATCCTGAAACTTCAGACCTGGAACTCAAATCGGCCTACCTGACAGCGCCCCTTCAAACAGGGCCACCTGTCACAGGTCCACATGCGCGTCTCCCAGACTCTGGTGAAGCAGGGAAAACACAAAGTCATTCAAAGGGCTGAAGATTTTTGTGGTATGATTAATGTGTTTGATACCACCCCCCATAGATAAGGTGGCTCTGTTCACAGAGCAATTCCAAGGACGTCACCTGAAGAGGGCAGAAGGAGTGGAGGCCAGGACTCTGCTGCCATCTGGTGACCAGGACAAGAAGGTGACGCCACCACCACCCACACGCTGGAGGGGCACACAGCTCTCTCCAGCCACATCCCACACCTGCAGGGGACAGGGAGTCCATTTGTCCTGTTCCGTGAATGTTATCAAATGGCTGGGGCTGCTTTCCCAGCAGGGGAACTATTAAGCGTTGCACAATCCTCTACATCCCCTTGGTGAGAGCCCTGAATTTCGTTCCTCCCATCAGCATTGCTACATCAAGTTGAAACCAAGGACACTGTTGTTGTCACACATAGCCGAGTGTAATAACACCTAAAAAGGTGAGAAACTTAAATCAATGCAATACAAGAAAATCCTGCCTAGCCATTCTAGGAAAAAATCTACTCATCTAGAATGTCTTTAAAGGTGGGATTGTTCAGAAATCCCTTTAGGCAGGTGTCTGTCTGCCTGAACGGGCCCGTGTGAACAGAAGGGAGAATGGAGACGGGGCCTACCATCATGGCAGTGTCCACAGGGGAGGCCGAGAGCAGCACAGAGCCGCTGGGCGCCCAGGCCAGGCTGGTCACTGGAGAATGTCCTGGGTGAGACAGCACCTGCGCGCAGCCCGAGGACGGCCTGCATGTGGAAAGACAGACACGGAGAAATCCAGACACCCAGACAGAAACCACAGCAGAGCAGCAAACACAGGCTAAATCAGGGACCACAGCCCCGGCACTGTAACAGGCCTGTCTGGGGGGACACCTGGCATTTGGAACTGAACACTGAGAAGGGCAAAGTGATCGACTGACTGCACAGGTTTCTGAGGCGTCACTGACACACGTCCAGGTCTTCCTTGAACCACTAAATTCATGATGGAGATAAAAGACAGTGCAGGAACAAAAAAAAACAACTTGTGATTGTCTCTGAAACAGATAGCAAGAGTGTATTTTGTCCCACCACACTATAATGAGCAATCACTCCCCCCTCCATGGATTCCAAATAGCTTCTATAGCTGTGACATCTCTGGCGTTTGCGCTGGGACCCATGTGCTGGTGAGTGTATTCATGTATGCTCTGTTTTTTTTTTTGTTTGACACTACATGAAACAGTGCCATCTCTATATGAATGGCCCCGATTTCTATTACTCTCATAAAAGTGTCATCCATATATGCATGACGCCTTACACTGGACCCATTCATACAGATGGGCGATCCAAGTTAAACATGTTGTTCAGGGGTTCAGACGCAGTGTCCCGCCTGGGATTCCAGAACCCCTGATCACTGCTCCCTGCCGTTTATTAACACTGCTCCGCGCGGGCCGGTCGACAGGGCTCCAGCCAGCCTCGGCTCTCCCTCACCTGGTCGAGAGGGAGGTGGGGTCGACATGCCAGACCAGGACGCAGTTCTGACAGGCCACCGCCAGCGCCGACGCGCACAGGGGCTTCCACGCCAGGGCAGCCACATTCCTCTGGAGGCGGTGCTTCAGGGTGGGCGACGTGGCGCTGCCAGGCCAGAGAGACAAGAGAGAGTGTATATGGCACACACAGGAAAAAAAGAGTGACAGACAAAAGAAAAGGAAAAGAGGAGGAAGGAGGGCAGCAAAGCCATTCCTTTGCTAAAACATACCATGGTAGCAGGCCTACAGGTTGAAACTGCACCTTTGCCTCTCAATCTAAAGGATCCTGGAGCACTGTGATGTTGTTCCACTACATGCATCCTGGCAGTCCTGCGCAGATGCATTGGGGCAGAGCTGGGGGTCTCTTACCTCTTGGCGTTGTACACCCTGACAGAGTCATCCAAGAGAGCCACAGCAAACTTATCGGTGTGGGGGTGCCAGGCAAATCCACGCACCGAGCAGTTGGCCCTGGTAAAGAAGGGGTTAATCACCCATTACAGATACATTCAGGATCGTGGGGGAGCTGAAGCCTATACCGACAAGCAATGAGCACAAGTCAGCACCACAGGATACATAGTGACACGCGCGCACAAACACACACACCAGGACCAGTTTTCCCAGGAGTCATTTAACCTACCAGCATGTCTTTGGACTGTGGGAGGAAACCAGAGGAAAATACAAACTTCACACAGATCATACCCCAGAGCCACAGTTCAAACCAGGGCCCCCAACATTGTGAGACAACAAGCCTAACCACTACATTGCCGTGCTGACCAATTATATACTATTTAACACTCAGGATATTCAGTTACATTACCCCACAAAACCCCCTATGACCACCTACGACTTTAAGGTACAGAACATTTTGCCCACATTTCTGCTAGCTACACATCTTCATCAGCTGTAAACACTGTGCGAGTGTCTCCATTCTCAATCTTTTTCAAAAGACTTAAAAGGACATTTAAATTACTCACCAATCAAGCACCTGGGAAAATTCCACTACCATGTCTTCACTGCTCAGCTAGAAAGGAGAGGAGAAAAAAAATCCCCAGAAAATATAATCATTGCAATCTAAAGCTCAGCCTTCTCTGGAGGCTTAATAAATATAAAACAGTGTACCAAATGCAACCAACTCAAGACAAGGTCCTCAACAGACAGAGCTTAAGAGATTTACTCGTACAGAAACAAGAATACACAAGGTTCACAACAAGAAATGAACAGGACTTTATCTCGAGTTAAAGAAATTGGACTGAATTTCCCATGAGGGCTTGAAAGTGATTTTGTCTAAGAAAGTGCACTGGCAGAGACTGAGGATTTCCCATTGTCGCTACAGCAGGTGATGTTAAATTAGACTGCACATTTATTTTCCTTCTGTACCTACGTTCACCCACACCATAAACTCACAATAAAGGCTGATATCTCAGTGAATTAGACCCCCAGAAATTAGCTGAACAGCCTGCCAGGTTTGTGCCGGAGGTGAGAGAGGTGCTGAAAGCAAAGCACTCACAGCGAGATGGGGGAAGAGAGAGCCATGGAAGGAAGACATCCATCGCAGAAGGGCCAGGCTGCAGCCGGATCCCACCGCCATCCACCTGGGCACTGCAGACACGCCAGACACACCTGTCACTACAGGTCTGCACTGCCAGGCACAGTGGTGCCCAGAGGCCAAAGCTTTGCATGCTACAAAGTCAACACTGTTGCAAACACAATTCAACTTGGAGTGAGGGAGTCATTAAGGCTTGAAATAAATTTGGAAATATTAATCTATTGGCATAAGTCTGTCTTAACTGGAGTAGGACTAAAGCTTACATGCGCCCACTTCCAGTAAAAGAACAACCTCATTAAAAACTCTCTCTCCCCAGCCATGCTGTTAAAACTAATGATTTGAAGACGTTTTCAAGAAACACCTGAATGGGATCCTAATTGGGATTATTTACTGGACAGCAGAACATTTATGTTCTTAGTGATTTTTTTAGGAAATGGAATTGACAGCTGAACATTTATGTTATTAGTGATTTTTTGATTATCTGGGCTGCAATGGGGCAAATTCCAATTTTTTTCCCCCAACTTTGGTGACATGGCAATAAAGAACTGAATAACTGAATTAAATTAGTAAGTTTGTTTTTTCAAAACAGAACAGGGTAGTGTCAAGTCTCCTATGGTGTTTCGAATATGAAATGCTAGACTCCACAGAGCTGACTCTACAGGCCTTCTCTCTAGGATTTTTAAGATTTTCCTTCCCTGCGACATGTGTCAATCCAACAGTAAAAGAATATTAATTAAGGTATATTCTACTGTTACATATCAGTTACTTCTAGCAGACTGAAAACACAAGAGCTGCCGCTCCTACTGCCACCAGTGAGTGACCCGAGACAGACAGAAAACTTGCTCAAACAGAGCAAGATAAATAACATCTGGAGGGAAAAAAAGAGGAGATATTTCTATCCTAATTGACTACAGTTTGCCACATCCGAACTCCCTTGTGCTGAAGTTCAAAGCCAAAGAGACGGCAGGATTCAAAAAGGAAGCTCTCCCCGCTGTGCAGCGGCAGATCCTGCTGTTCCTACCTTCATCAACGGAGTTGGCGATCTCATCCAGCAATCCCATGAGCCCCGCATCACGCCTGCAGAAGGGAACAGCGCATTCTTATTATTCTTGCTTACTCGCACGCAGTGACACAGGATAGCTTCAACCTGTCGACCAATTCTACTCAAGCTTTCTTATCCTCTGGGGGAAACTTGTTTTCCCCCTGCGCAACGTTTCATCACATTGCGCAGGTGCTCTTGTGTGATATCTTCAGAAACAGACACTGCCTGCACTTTGTTGCGCTCCAATGTAGATTTTTTTATCAAAAGGTGAGCATTTTAAAAAATGTTCAGATGGGTAGCTGCGCCAGCATGCGGAGGCTGCGAAGGAACAAGTAAAGGTTTACTCCGTGCTGAAAAGAGAAGAAAGGAAAGGGTGTGGCACCCGGAGAAGGCTCCACAGCCGAAATGTTAGGTTTGCTTTCTTCTCTTCACCTTTACTTGTTCATTTAAAAAAATGTCAAACTGGGGGATTGAATTTAATCACACAGTCTAGATTTTTTAAAAAGAATCCAACACAATAATACATCTGGGACAGACCAACATTACCAAGAGAAAAGGATGTACAGTAGTGTAACTGGAGTTATGAGTTATTTTACATTGACAGTGGTACTGCAGCGCAGATGAAAGATTTCCTGAGTCTGTTACACAGAGGCGTCTCCCAGATGGCAGAAGTGTAAATACACAATGGAGGGGGTGAGACACATGCTGCTAATGCTCTAGGCATTCTTTACAACCCTTTGTCTGTACAGGATATTAAAGACCAAGACAGTCAAACGTCAACTACAGCCCCATCGTCAAGGAAGAACAATGTTATACAAAGACTGCACAAGGTCACATTTATTTTTTTCCCCTCATTCACTGACACAGTTCTAAGACAGACATGCACCAGCAGTCACGATTGCCCACAGTTGTCGGGACACATGGGTGGCACACCTACCAGGCATTGGCACTCCTCATCCACAGCGCCTCCTGGTGGTCGATGAAGGCAGCCTTGCTGCTGCACTCCAGGCGGCTGTGGGGCTTCAGCGTGTCCTTGGGAATGAGCAGGGAGGGCGGGTCCCACTCCTACAGCACAAGGGTCCGGGAAAAGCACACAGAGTAAAACGCGGCATGGACAAGCTGTAAGATGCAACGGGGCTTCTAAAACTACTCAAAACCATTTCACAGAAGTAGAAGCTTATGGACATGACATGTAACTAAAATCCCATGTTCTAGCAGCGCTTGCAGTGACACTTGACTTGTTTTGCCAACCCCACTTTAGCCACACAGAGTGATTTGCTGGAATCGCATGCAAATAGTGAAGCAGCACCTGCCAGCACTACAGAAGGTCAGGGTAACATCTAAGACTACAAGCTGTGCTTTAGAACCTCCCAGCACACTGTGCACAGGCCACCAAGCAGGCAGAGGCTGGTGGTGCACCTAAGGCTGTGGGTTCAGATCCCGGGCAGCTCACTGCTCCTGTACTTCAGTGAAACACTGAACCAGTGCGACTTGCACATGTAGCCCCAGGGGGGCGGATTGATTATTCTTCTCACTCAACCTGCTATTTCTGTCACCCTGTCCCAGATACTGCTTATCTTTTAGAAAATGACTATACCTTTCAGAAATACCCCTTACCTTATAACAATTAAATCTATTACCCTAGAGTGTGCTATTGCAGTACAATACGTTTTATATCTAGAGTGATATAAATGTTTGTCTAGGGAGGTCATACTCAACTCATCTGTTGGCTGCATCTTCACAGCAAATTCCTTGTGCACCTAGTCACTTGGCAAACAAGTATCTACGTATCATGTCGTATAAATGGACTATACTTGCTACGCATGAATCGAAAACAAGTCAGCACCGCTCACAGCAATCCGGAGAGGTCCTGTGCTGGCCGGGGCTCACCTGTCTCTGGTAACTGTCCAGCGTGCTGCCGGACACCAGCTCGTTGCTGGACTCGTACAGGGAGACCTGGCCAGCCGGCAGCGGTGGAGGAAAGAGCGCCAGGGAACACATCGCAGCTCCTGCGGAACAGCCCCTTCGATTAACGCCGTGTTCTCCCCCTGCTGACGAGCCGCAGGCCGCACGACAGACGGGCGGACCGCGGTGACACACACGCAGACAGAAACGCTGACCGACAGATACAGTATCTATAAAACAGGTGACGTGCAAACGCCACCGCTGCCAATAACGAGCCTGTTTTCGTCCACTCCGTTAAACTTTCGGAACCGAGCAGGTTTTATGGACAAGGACTGACAAAAGGCGCAGAAAACTAAGTATCTTTCAAAACAACTAAACATTGAGCTACTCGATAACCCGGGCACTTAATTCTACATTACCGTCTGGGAATACAGTAGTTCCCTGTAAATACTTGGAAGCTTTCTGTTTTTAAGACTGCCGGAAAGCATCATTCCCACGACACTACCAACTTTATCCGGACTTTTCTTTACTTATTTTATTCTTTGCTTTCCCACTGCTTCAAGACGCGCCTCTTTGCCCAAAACACCAACTTACCTTCGCCTCTACTTGCCTTCTGTATTTGAGCCTCGCTGAAGACCCGCCGTCGCCTCCCCCAGCAGGGAGTGGAACGCGAGAGGGACAAACCGCACCAAACGCAAAGCTAAAGTTTCCTAAATATCGCCACCTTCGGTACAGGAGTAGGTACTGCAAGTAGTAATCACGAGCAGTCAGAAAAAACCGTTGTCGCAATCTTGGCATACATTTTCTAAGCGCTTATTTCAATTCAGGGTCGCGGGCGAGCTGAAGCCTTTCCCGGCAGGCAACGGGCACAAGGCAGGATACACCATGGACGGGACGGCAATCCATCACCCCAGAACCGGAATTGAGCCCAGGGCCTCAGTGTTACTAGGCAGCAATGCCAACCACTGATAATGACAATGCAACATTTTTGTTTACAACGAAATGAGTTAATATATTCATAATAATTCCTTATAATAAAAGCTGCAGATATTAAGAATGCCACTCCTCGTACAGTGTATAAAGTAGCTTAGGAATAGACAGCCCGGGTTTCTGTAAGTTTTAGAGGGCACCCTCACAATTAGAACCTGATTCAGACACTGAAAACATCCCATTTTAGCCATTTTAGTGTTTCGTTCTAAGTCATTAAGGTTTGCGATTGAAAGATCACTAGACAAGAAAATCGCGATCGTTCAGGGCCAGGGCTGTTTTGTTCCAGCTGCCGTATGTGGGTTTCCTCCCTGGAGCTGACTGCGCTGTCCCTTTAAGGAGTGATGCTCCGAGCGGGTCGCTCTCCAATTGGTCCGGGGCGTGACTGCAGATTGTACTTGGGGATTGGGTTTTAAAACAGGGGAAGGGAAACGACGCACCGGTCGAAAAAAAACAACAACAACAACAAAACAACAACAGCACACAAAAACACAACACATTGCGTGCAAGTGCAGTTATTAAAAAAATACCTCATCATGTATATTTAATAAAATCTTGGGGGGTTCCGAAGCCGATTCAGCACTAGGCTCGCAAGACAGCTCCCTGCCCAGACCGCGGCGCGGACGAGTATTGATAATATAATTAGCCAGATGGGGCTCGCATTGACTGACTGAACCTCAGGAGCAGGTCGCCGCAAAGTACAAGATAACAGCGCGCCGGGCGAAGGAAAAAGGCTTTTCTTTGTGACGGCCGGACACTTTCCCAAACGCTGTGCCAGCATCAGCAACGGCCAGTCGCGAAAGGTAAGACCGTTAAAAAAACAGATGCAGTGCCGTAATCGTGTCACGATGGAGCTCCTGGGTTTTTAAAGCCTTTCGTTTTGTGCAGTATTTATTACACTCGGCATTTTTTTAAAAAGATGGCACGGAAGTATGCTGTATTTGCCCTGCCTAAATATAAATACGATATATCTCCGTGAATGTATATACAATACCGCCTATCATGGGCATATTGAGACTATAATATATTCTATATCAGAATTTCAAAATATACGTTTGGATAATTTCAAACGGAATCTATCTGAAAAGTCATTTTCCAATCGTACTTCGCGTCCCTCTCTCCGAGTCATCAGGTTGTCCTGTGTGTTAGCATTCTTTCTGGAATCTAAACTCCATTTTCGTTTTTTAGTATCAAATTCAATAATCACATCCGATTACAGTCGCGGGTCTGTATGCGTTTGTTGTTGTTTTGTTTTTTTTTGCCATGTGATTTTTCAGAAATATTTGCAAGGTTTTGAAGGAACTGTGTCGCTGAACGGGGCTGACAAACGAGAAATGCGCACAAATGTCAGATTACGGGTTATAGCGTTACTGCTACATGCTGGGTTATGTAATTCGTTGTAGTCTTCGGTGGAATTGATGAAGCCGTTGTGTTTTAGACCCTTCCCGAAAGACACACAACTCCAGTTGCGGACAATTGTTGTCTTTACTATTTACAAAAAAAAAAACGATTCCGTGTTGGGGGCCATCTGCTTCTTTCTCTGGTGCGTCCTAACGGCGTGTGCTGACATACAGCACCTGCGCAAAGGGACATATACCTTCACGGACTAGTACAGGCGACGCAAGAATCTAGAGCACTGTGAAGACAAAAAAAAGCAAAACATAGTCCCAGAAAATCACACAGAACCTGATGATCCCTTAAAAATCCACTTCCGAGATGCTTTTTCCTCGCCTCAGGCAAACAGAGAAAAATGACTTGAGTTCAATACGGTGGGTGTCTGGCCTCTCGCGGTGCTGGAACGCGGCAGCGGGGGCGTTTGGCTTTTGAAAGAAAAAATAAAACTAGAAAGATGTTCGTTTCCTTCAGGCCCGATATCATGAAGCTTAAGGCACACAGTTTTGTCTTAAGTTATCAAACAGCCTTGCTGTTTCTCCGGAAAACCTACACAGGTCAGCAAGAACTGTAAATGCGGACTCCGGTAGAGAATGCTACAATATGGCCACTGTAAGAGGGATGGGAATTGTTGTGTTTTACATTATAGCACTCGAATCGTATTACCTTCCTGACATCTTCTCCATGATACCTGGATACATCATTTTGGCACCTGCTCTGAGTCTCTCAGATGGGGCAACACTTTAATACCACAAAGGGAAGATAAAACCAGTAAATAATTCTGAGTGTGAGTGGGTTGCTAAAGTTGCTTCAGCTGGCACATCCACAGACTTCAAAGATATTGATATGCTTGTAATATAATGGGGAGGCACGCTGGCACAGTTGTTAGCATTGCTGCCTTGCAGTACTGGGGCCCTGGGTCCAATTCCTGGGGTGCTGTCTGTGTGGAGTATGCATGTTCTCCCTGCATTTGTGTGGGTTTTCTCCAGGTGCTCCAGTTTCCTCTCACAGTTCAAAGGCGTACTGGTAGGTTCACTGGTTTCTGGGAAAAATGTCCCTGCTGTAAGTGTGTTTGTGTCTGTGTCTGGCCTGTGACGGACTGGCGTCACCATCCGGGGTGTACCCTGCCTTGTGTTCACCACTTGCCACGATAGGCTTCGGCCCCCCTGTGACCCTGAATGGAATAAAGGGGGTAGAAAATGGATGGATGTAATATAATGAAGCTCTGATGTCCCTGAGTCAAATTGTCATCCCAGACATTCAGCCCCTCGGATAATTGCAGCAGATCTGCTGTCCTAAGGAAGCAGGAACTCTTAGAGGCCAAGCAGATGATTCTGCATTCACAAAAGGCAGGTGTCACAGTCACTCGACCCCTGTTACAGTCCCAGTCTTGTACCTTCATTTTCAAGATGTTTTGCCCTCTGGTGTCACGACTTCAGAGTGGACAGTGAGTTCCAGGTGACAGTGCAGAAATAACCGAAGGATTGACCAGCCTGATTTTATGATGGGGGATTCCCTAATTCTGGAGTGTGGACAGGCAAGGTGGAATGTCACAAATCCATCTTACTTATCTATTGGCTCAGCCACAATCAAGTTCCTATACAGAGACGGTTAGCATAGAGTCGGAGACTACTGCTGCTTTGGGATGGTTGACCACAGGAAAGCCTGGGATATGCATCGTTGCCAGTTTGACTTCCAGTTGCCGCCTTCTTAAAAAAAAGCAATGCTTGGACAGCCTTCTCCCAGGAGACAAGCGACTGAGTCACAACCGGGATCACAGCCTGAGTGAATCACTCGTCTGGGGCTGCCTTCATGGGTTGAGCGTTTCGCTGTAAGAAGTTCATCTCTCAAAAGCTTCTTTTGTTCAGTGAGATTGATGATACGCATGTTCCAATTAATGGACAAGTAGGCTCAAAGGTGCACACAGGAACCTTTTGGACATCGGTTACTGGGATCTGTCAGGGATCACTTTTGATACCCCCCCCGAACCTGAAACAGTTTGCTAATTTGACTGCACTATTTGAGAGATTTTGGTTGTCATATTGGTTGTCCATCGAGGTCTTGAATCCACGATTCCTTGTTACACGTAATATTCCAGGCTGTGGAATTTAATAATAATGATAATGTTGACGGGTGGCACGGTGGTGCTGCGGTTAGCAACGCTGCAGTGCAGTCCGGGGGCCCTGGGGTGCTGTCTGTGTGGAGTTTGTGTGTTTTCCCTGTGTTTGTGTGGCTTTCCTTCAAGTGCTCCAAAGTCCAGAGACATGCTGGTGGGTTAATTGGCTTCTGGGAAATTTGGCCCTGGTGTGAGTGTGTGCATGTTTGTGTCTGTGTTTGCGATGGGCTAGTGTCCTGTCCCTAGTGTACCCTCTCTTGCTTTGCGTTAGATCCAGCTCTCTAGTGACCCTGTATTGGATAAAGCAGTAAAAAAAATGGATGGATGTTAATGATGATGGTGATTTAACATTTAGCAGATAATTTTATCCACAGTGATTCAGAGACTAGACAGTGACCTATGCATCAGCGTTTGTTGTTGCAAAGTCACTTACAATAGCAGCCTTTGCTTTTTAACATCTCAATCAAAGAAACAGGATTACATGGACGTTCAATTAGCTTGCCTGGGGTTGTACTTTCCACTCGTGTCCTCTGATTCAGGCTTCACAGTTGATCCTGAAGATATCCCCTGTGTTGATTTTGTCCAATGCCATTGAGGATTTCCGAATACTTGAATCAGATCCCCTTGTAGTCTTCTCTCTGCAAGAGTAATGAGGTTCCTTCTTTTACATTGTTAGTGTAGGACCTTCTGTTAAGACCAGGTGGGCTTACCCGTGGACTGATTCCAAAGCAACAGTATCATGTTACATTGTGCAACATTTCAGTGAAAATGGTATGCAAGGTTCGAATGCATTAGTCTTGAGGTCTACAGTTTTAAGCTTTATTTAAAACCTTAGGTTCACAGCCTCCCCCAGCACTCAGTGAATCATGATTCCCATTTCAATCTCCTAATTAATTTCCAGTTTTCTGACCTTCTAATTTCACACCTTAGACTATAATCTGTCCCTCACATTCCCACCTAATTATCACCATTTTAACTCCCCCACCTACCCATTCTCACCTCTGCTCTATGAGACGTGTCCCTCCCCACCACTCTCTCATAACTCTGCTCTCTCACCTGTACATACCTGTTTGCCTGTTGTTTCGCTTTCTGACATTGTGTGGAGGGGATAAATGATGTGTCTAATTGCCTAGATCTTTCTCAGAGTTAACTTCTTCAGAGTCAGTCTCCCAGCTATTGGGAGCGTTGTCACACTGTGCAGGTGTGATATCTGCAGAAACAGACAGTGCCTGCATGTCTGAAACACAACTGTGTATTTAAAAAAATGTCAAACTGAGGGATTGAATTTGATCAGTCTGTTGAGACCATCTTGATTTTTTAAAGCTTTTAGAATCCACTACAGAATTCATGATCCAAGCTTTATAGTAACTTTATAGTTACAAGTCTGGAAAACCATGATCATGCTAAATCTGTGAAAGGTTCAGTTTGTCTCCCCATGAATTCCGCCCTTTGAAAAATTTTTAGATGATTAAAATCTCCTTAGATTTTTATAAAATCTCCTTTAATCTTTA